TATATATATAGTATTTTACACTCAAAACTCTGGAGAGTGTACTTATCTTTATTCAGAGAAAAGATGTCAGATTCTTAACCATATGTTCCAAAAAGATACTACTTGCAAAATTCTACTATGAGCATATTGGAGTACACTGAAATCTTGTCACATTAATTCATCAGAAGAATATGTCTAGCAATCATCATGAAGCATGACCACCATGTTTTGGAATTTCTTAGCCAACAATTGAGTATTATGGGAAACATTGTACGAACTATTACATGAGATGTTTCATAACATATCTGCTCACGTCTCATAGGGATTTATACTTCTCACTTCATATTTACATTTGCATGTATGTGAGATTACTAATCCATTAATTCCATATATGTAAGAATAAGAAAACGAATTAAGTGTCTATCACTTTACATACATTTAGGAGGAAAGAATGTGTTCTATACTATTGGGGATACTCTAAAATACCACTAAAAACTGTGATATGTTTTATACCCTTCCTTTTTTATTCAAAATTTTATTGATAAACAGAGAGCAATGAGACAGTTTCAAATCAAATTGGTAGTACAGTTTCAATAACTAACACACTGCATATATTCTTCTTAGTGGTTAATTGCTGTACAAGATGTGGACTTGAGATCCTATTTACAAACACCATTAGAACAAATCATTCTATTCATTAAGAGAATGTAATTATATATCTATCCTAACCACTTTGAATACACAGATACAAAATGGACATTCATCTGTATACCTCTTTTTTTCTGAGTTCAATTATTTGAATATTATAGGTGTGTAAACTCAGCAAAATATTCTAAAAGAGTCCAGTAGCCCATAATAGCATTGGGTCTTCTGTTTAACTGGCAATGTCAGAAATTATTGACCTGAGCCTCCCACAGCTCAACATAACAGCATGGCTTTACTTCCTATATTTCATCTTCATACTTTTCTACTGGGTGTTTAAGACCAAGGTAAAGCAGGACCTATGCAACAAGAGTTGTAGCTGTTGTAGACCCTTCCTTTTATGAGGTTTCCAAAATAGAACTGATTATATAGCAGGAGCACATGCAAATAAGACCTCTCTCTGCTGATGAAAAGCAGCCCAGCCCTGACCCTGAACCTCTGCAGTGGAGTCCAGCCTTGGATGCCCAGCTATTGTCACTTAGTGATCAAGACTAAACACAGAAAGTTCATCATGGAGATGGTGCTGAGCTGGGTTTTCCTTCTTGCTATTTTAAAAGGTAATTCGTGAAAAATCTGGAGATACTGAGTGTGAGTGGCAGGGGTGGGACAAGCAATGGATATGTATAACATTTTACTGAGCAGGATGTCCGTGTTTACAGGTGTCCAGGCTGAAGTGCAGCTTGTGGAGTCTGGAGGAGGCTTGGTGCAGCCTGGAGGGTCCCGAAAACTCTCCTGTGTGGCCTCAGGATTCACTTTCAGTAGCTATGTCATGCACTGGATCCGCCAGGCTCCAGGGAAGGGGCTGGAGTGGCTCTCTTACATTAGTGAGACTGGAAAGAATATCAACTATGCAGATTCCGTAAAGGGCCGATTCACCATCTCCAGAGACAACGACAAAAACACATTATATCTGCAAATGAGCAGCTTGAAAGCCGAGGACACAGCCACCTATTACTGTGCAAGACCACAGTGAGGGAAATCTCAGTATGAGCCTTTCATAAACCTCCTTGCAGAGTGCTTATTACCAGCAGGGAGTGCTCGAGATACACAGAGCACGGAGATTACCCACAAAGTGCCTGCATTTAACAATTATTTTAGATTGGCATTATGGCATTTAAAAAAAATATTAGAAGGTAGCAGTAACAACAGAGTAACAGAAATTCAACAAAAAGTTAAATTACAAACTACATAAAATCCCAGATAAGGTTCAAATAATTGATTTGATTGTTTAACTAAAATCTTGAAAGACAAGAAATCCAATAAAATAAAATAGTATAATCCAATTGGCAACTTTCTGTCTTTGAAATTATGTATTTTGCATTTTGTATCCATTGAACAGTGAGGAAAAATCGTTTTGTGCATCTTACAACATAGTATAAGGCAAGATAAAAATTGCAATATAAATTTGTGTATTTATTATTTCATATTTTTTCCTCTAAAGCATAATTGATAAACATCTAAAATGTTTAGATGTTGAGATGACGCTGAATCTAGTGTTCCTATTACTTTTAAGTGTTGTTGCAAGTGCTTTAAGTCTCAAAGTTTTTCAACCAGTTAAACACATAAAAATCGAAATGGTACAGTATACATTGTGTGTAAATTGTAAAACTCTCTGTGTAACTGAAAAACAAAGCAGGGACACATTTAGTGAAGGCTAGCTGAGTACAAAGCAGTGTCTGCATATTAAATCAAGTGAAAACCCTTCCAAGGAAATGGTGCTGTCCATGGACTGTGGTGCTGAACTTAACTGACCTTTACTGTCAGGCTGTGAAGATATGGAACGGGAAGTGAGAAAATAAGCAGAAACTCTACTTAGATTTGCCATGTCTGGTGATGAATTGTTAATGCTGATTTCCTTCAGTGTTTATGTGTAAGCTTTGCACACAAATAGTTTTAACTACAAAAATGATGGAACCTCATCAGAAATTGGAAGATTAACTGAAATTTAGTTGAATATTTACATAGGCATTAATTCTAATTTCTCACATTTTAAAATTTCAAATACCAAACAAAATATGTGTATGGAAGTAGAGGCACTTACTAAAGTTGCCAGAGAGATGGAATATATGGGTAACATACATAGAGTTGTGGTTAAATTTGGGTTATTGTGTCTGGGGAGATTGCACAGCAGTCTGTATGCCTGCCTTGCAAGTGCAAGAATTAGTGTTAAATCCCTGGTACTTCATGTTATGCTAGCCAGAAGTGTGGAGCCACTGAAATCAGACATGGTGGTGTATGCCTGTAATCCCAGCACTGGCAGGGCTTAAGCAGAAGGGTCATTATGAGTCTGAGCTGTGTAGTGAAAAACTATATCAAATAAATACATAAATAAAAGATATTGAGGGCTGGTGAGATGGCTCAGTGGTCTAAAGCACCTACTTAGAACAAGCTTAGCAAAGCACAGGGACTGCGGTTCAATCCCCCAGCACCACATGCCAGCCAACCCCGCCCCCTGGTGGGCTGAGCTGGCCACACACACACACACACACACACACACACAAATAAATAAATAAATAAATAAATAAATAAATAAATAAATTTAAAAAAATAAAAGATATTGAAATTTGGTTTATTAAAAGTGACATTTCCCGCAGTGAAAATTACAAATATTTATACTGTGAAAATTTTGCAAAGCATGCTACTGTCTCGCATTAAAGAAGCACAGAATATATGGGGCCAGGGAGATAGCTCAGTAGAATAAGCGCTTGCCTGGCAAGTGCAAGGCCCTGAGTTTAAACCCTGGTTCTGCCAAAAAAAAAAGATGCTAAAGAAGCACAGAATATATCTCCCTTATCTAAATACAATATAGGTCTAATTTTTTCTGTAACATTTGTTGTGACATTCAGATCTTATATAATTTTTATCTCAGCTACCTAAACTTTAAAGATGGTACTAAACAAAAGTATGCAATTGTGATGTTTAAATATACCTCATTAGATATTTAAAGTTATCAAATTAGTTCACACTGACAATTTTTTTCAAATTTCCATGAAGGCTACTGGAGATACATCATAAAATTAAACTATCAACTCATTGTCTCCCCTCCCCTAATATATTTGTTTGTATACTACTTTACATCTTGATGACACACATGAATATTTATTCAAGAGGAAGAGCTGATATGACTTGACTAATGAACATGAAGAAAAACAGACTCTCTGTTCTTTAGACTTAGTCCAAGACTGAAAAAAAAAGAGAAAGATTAAACAGCTCTTTTGGACTTTTGTTTCTTAATAACCACTAGAAAAATTCATGAAATAAAGAGTTTCTTTCCTTTCTTTGGTTTAATAACACTTGGAAAACTAAAACTCTACATTTCCAAATGTCTACATATGCTAGACATTTGTTATATGTATACAATATATATAATATAATATAATATAATGTTATGTAATATAATGTATATCCTCACCCTTGTATTATATGTTCCTTCATTTCTTTTTACTACAGTATCTAGAGTTCCAGTCCTTGTATAGAGCCCAAGAGCACATCTTTTCTTTTTTTCTTTTATTACCTCTTTTTTATACAGATATTACTTTAAAGAGAGTATAGCAACAATTGATATGACATTAGAAGCAGTTCTCATTTAGAACACCAAAATGACACTTATCTCAAGCCTGAATTTAGTATTACACATTGCTATCCTCAGTGTAGCTGCTTAGTTCACAGATATCAGCATATAAAGTTAGTCAGGGTGACAGGTCTACCAACTAACAGCTATTTTCAAAAACCTGATGGAGATCCTTAGGACCATTGCCTTACCGTCTTGTTGCAGGAGCAAAACTATAACCAAGAGCACATTTATAGGAAAGTGAAATCTAGTTTACTGCCAAGATAAAGGATTTTTCAAAATAATAGTTATCCTTGAGATTCTGATATTCCTTTATCTCTGAATTCTCAGTTAAACAAGTCTATTCTTAAAAGAACACATCCTCAACTCTGCAGAATTCAAATCATAGCTCCTGTCAAAGCGACCCTGCTGTGTTCATGTGGCCTAGGTCCTCATGAAGATCAGGCGAATATGGTCAAAGACTGGTTGGAAGTTGTATCCACAGTGGGAGCGTTCAGTGGGAACTCAACTCCACACCTCACTTCTGAGATGATAAAGACTATCAGGCCATGCTCCTTACTGCCCACAGATGTGCTGTTCTTTCAAAGGGAGCTGAGGAACATTCAGTGTGATCAAGTTGTGCAAGACCAGGCTTTCGTGTGTCCCAACACAGAAGCAGCTGCACTGAAGCCCTGGGGGGACTTTACCTGCAGAGTCCCTGGGTCCTACTTACTCTTTATCATGCTGTGACTCATTCTCATTATTTAAGAGTATTGAAACTGTACATTCGCTCAGAATCATACAAGCTGAATTCTTATAAAGTTTCTTCACGTTTTCTAAAACTTAGCACCTAAAAGCATAAATGTTCATAGAAGAGAATCAAAGAAATTTTACCCACATATTGGACATTCTTTACTCTTTAAGGTAGGAGATCAATATCCCCATTAATTCCTGAATATGCACTAAAACATACTAACAGATTCAAAAAAAATTTCTGTGTGACTCAGGTCACATATAACATCTACATTTTTCATATCATTGCACACAGAAAATAAAGCTGTGGCCTCCAGGGAATACCAGCACATGCATTACACAGTGATTAGTTAGAATTAGTCATCAGTTTTCTTATGATGAGGAACGTGAATATTAACCACTATTACAGTAGAATCACAAAGGATTTAATATGTAAATTCCCATGCAATTGTATTTGTAGCCTTTGGTCTTATTGCATGTGGGTAAAATTTACACAGAATGCCATTACATGGACAAACCTAAAAGTGTAACACATATTTCTGATAAAAACAGTGCACAAACCTCACCCACAGTTCAACACTTATTGAAAAATCTCAGCCATACACTGATGTTGACATCATGCATTGGTGTAAAAACATGAAAGAGCACACATGCCCGGCACCTGAGGATTGGATAAAATATACGGTGTTTTTATACAATGCAGCATTACTCAGCTGTAAAACGGATCAATTCAAGGCTTCTGCACATAAATAGATGCAACTAGAGACTGTATTAGTATGTGACCTAAGTCAGACACCCATGTGCAAACACCATACTTTCCCTAGAGTGAGAACCTGAATAAATAAATAAAATTGAAAAGGTACAACAGCTACTGAGAAAAGGAAAGTGGTGGTTTGTTTAATGAGGTGGAAAAACTGGGATGAGGCAAAAGACAAAACAAAGAATAATATATATATATATATATATATATATTTATGTATATGTACAGATAATTGAGATAATTTTACTGATATTTTCTGCTGGCCTTCGGAAAGGAGCAATTAATGCTTAATCTTTCTTTTCTTTTTATTCTTCTTTTTGCTGTGGTTGCTTTGGTTTTTTTTTCTTCTAAACCAATTTTGCACTTTTATATCTGAGAACCTAAAAAATTAATTTGAAGATAACATCATGCAATGCAACAACTATTGTTGAATTGTGATTACTTTCTTCAGTGAAATTTTGTATTGTTGCTATAGCTGTTTATTTTTATGGCCATGTTGGATTATTTAAAAAAGAAACAAAAATGACTGGTCCACATGGCACCATAGAGTTCATTTCAAATGACACATTGACTGAGAGGAGCAATAGAATAGGATGGAGTATGAACTCAGATGAAAGGAAACCTAAATAATCCTAAATTTACAAGACTTGACAAATCATAAATGATATAAGATTTATTAGACTGAACACTGAATACATATAGAGGTCATGTAACAGGGAGTGTAGTGTAGACAGAGGGAAGCCAGATGATTTAAAATAAGAAAAAAAGATGTCATTTAAAGTCTGTCACTCCCACCACAAGCTGAGTGCAAGAACTGGAGAACTGACAAAGTCACTGATGACTGATATGTGATTTCCGGACTCATTTCTCCAGGATTCCTCAAGTATATGTTCCAAATATTTTGAGACTA